AAGTATGTTGACAGGCTAAATTTTATTATTCTAGTATTCGATATTAAAATCGAAAATCCATAATGGATCGTTGACTTTCGTTAATAACATAATTTAGCGATGGTAGTACATCTATAATAGCATGTCATAATTTTATACAACACTCATAATAAATGTAAAGATAAGAAATACACAAGTAAATCCATGGAAAAATTAGAAAGTAGAAATCCTAATATCCATGGTTCACGTTATTTCAACATTACAAATAAGGAATTTTTTTAATATTTGTAAGAGGACTGATACAACATCCGAGTACTATATTCACGAAAAATTAGAATATGGACCAAAATTAGCAATTATTTGATGCTTAGTTCTACGATATTCTAAGAGAGTAATCATCAATCAAATTTTATTTATATAATGAGCAGGTGCGAATTTCCGTCTTCATTGATAAAGTGATAGTCTAAACTGTTTCCTTTATTGATAGTTGAGTGATAATCAGCTAGAAATGCCTAAAAAATACAAAAATAAGCGGAAAACATAGCAGTACTTTCTAATATCGCTACAAATGACTAAAATATTTCTTGTCTTCGATTAAGACATTTCAGATTACAATTTTTAAGACATAATATGCAATAGATTCCTTCCATTATTATTTAATTGTATAGTGAAAGTAATAAAGGACAGTATTGGCTATAAAAATTACATTGCAAACACTTATAGTATTGGCTAATATGATCTTCGATTTGATGCTGTACAACTTTGAATAGCAATGATAATTAGAAAGTTATTATGAATTAATGAATTAACCGAATATTCTGCTGCAAGTGTACGAATGAACCTATTTCTTCTTGAAGGTAGTCAATTAAAGCATTTCTAAGTTACCACTACAGTATTTGACTATCAATTGAGAAAGTTGCAAAAGAAATAAATTGAAGAATAGAGTTCAATCTATTCTAGCTTTTTGCTTTGCAAGTCAGTTCTTAACTACCACAGCAAATTACAGTAAAGAATTCTTGCTCAAATAGTGCAAAATTCAATCTTACATATGGCTAGCCAGTCTAAATCTAGAAAATTGGCCTATTTTCCACTGTAAGTTACAATCAATTAAAATTCTCTTTTAGGTAGTGTAGTGATGTTCCTATATTTAATTATACGGATAGCTATATTTGATATAGTTAGGCTACTTTGAGTAGATATTATCGTGAAGCTAATATTCGATGATTACTAATTACTATATTCGAAATAATTGATGACTAATAGTAGCCAGTTGACTAATTATGGTACAAGATTTATGCAGCTAGAAATACTGTAGTTGTTAAAATGCTCTTCGGAGAATAGAGCTAGAAGTTAATATAAGAGTAGTGAAATCTTAAGTAGAATGATTTATATTGTAGAAGATAATAATGTACTATTTGAGAAAAGTATTTTGTTTGATGACTCATGTCTGATGTCTGATTGTAGATTAATCAAGTTGTCGTAAATGAATGTAAGGAAACGTTTATAAGAACTGCAGAGATGATCTCAGGAGAGAGAAGAGGCTTGTATTCGCTTTGAGCTCGGAATATTTTAGGCTAAATTCTTGTAGTAATTAGTTATTGCTCTACTATTCATAAAACCTTGTAATAAAAGCCTTTTAGAAAATATCATTTGATGAAGAGTTATTGTAAGACACATTTTTTACAAGTAGAAACTGATTTTACTTTATCCAGCTAGCCATGTCTTACAAGTCAGTCAAACGTTCGATCTCAAATTGCAAGCAATCATTATCGAGCACTGGCTCAAACTAATTAAATAAATAACATCAAATTCGAGATATTTACTTAAAGAAGAGAATGATTGTAGTTATTTCAGTCATTTATATCTTACAAACTGGCTCTATCTTGCTGTGAGTTCAATTGCAGCCGTAATAGTTATTTTGGTAAATACTGTTCAATTTCAGCAGCAAATTGTGGTTAATTATATTTACTAACGCGTAAGTATAGGTAACTGAATCCATTCTAAGACTAGCCATTTATGTATGTTTCATACTAGCTCGATTTTTCTACAGTTAATTACTATATTTATCTGTCTTATTTTTATTAGAGTAAGATATGTTATATTATATTTGTTCTCTTATACCTGATCGATAATTTTCATTAATTGAACCTGAGTTGAGACGGTTAGTACAAAAATTGCAAGAGAATAATTATCCTCAAATTTTTATTTTAATCTTCATCTGTATAGTTCCTTACATAGCGCTTTTGTAATTCAGATTGTAAATCTATTTTAAATAAATTTTTTCTAACTGATACTCGATCAGAAATAATTGTCCAAGATAGTTGATGGAATAACTGATCTGATAATGATGATGATCTATGCTATTGTTATTGCTGTTTACTTACTCGTTGTTGTGATCTTAGTTTTGTAATCAAGAACGGTTTAGAATATAAATGATGCGTAAAGGATGTATCAGTCTTGTCAGTACGCAAGTGCCATCACGAATATATGTATTTAAATAGTATATATTCGATTTTCAGCATTCAGTTGTTTCCTCAGAGCTCGTGATCAAGCGTGTGCGATTAGTAAGTTTAAATTTCTCCTCAGAGATTGTAAGTCCTGCATCGCCAGGCAATAATTTAGGATTCGTGTGCATTGCATTATTTTTAGCTCGCGGTTACAGTTTATAAAGAATCCTAGATTACGCTCGCAAATATATTAATACCTATATTCTATATGTTGGATATTTGTTTGTTTCCTGATTTACAGTCTTGATAGTCGTATGATCTACTATCAGTAAGTATCATACTGAAAAATTAAAAATATTGATCGATGATTTTGTCAATATATTTACATCTGCATTGTTAAAAATATCAATATTTCGTTCATTCCATGACTAATAGGCAATGTTACCGATCATCAGGCTTACGATTACGATTGGAATCATCTTGATAAGTAAATTATCTATCGTTGATGATAATTCCACATTTATCTTACTTAGTTAATCTATGAGACATCTTAATTTCCCTTGTCAATAAATTTGGAAGGAAAGCATCTTGACGTCGAAAGTACCGCCATAAGATGATATCGATAGTCTTATATCAACCTTGTAAATTTTAAGAATTTTATTTTTGATCTTCATCGATTAGCTATTCTGATAGTGCAGATATCAATATCATAGTTTGATGTTTTGATGAATTCAATAATCTTGTAAATAATGTATAAATAAAATTAAAAATACTCTCGTTTGTTAGATTTCAAATTGTATTGATTGATTACGAAGTGGTAACCGGTTTATTATTTGTCATCGGCACAACATTTAAAATCTACTGAAATAAAGATGACAACAGAATTTTATTGTTGTTAGCCAGAATTCATCAATAAAAACAAGTGAATAATTAAATTACCAAAATGGATTATAGAATATTTTATACTATTTTTTTCGGATATACTAATCAACTATAGACTACTTATCGATTTATATCGTCACGATCATGAATAGCAATAGAAGTAGAGATCAAAATCTGATCTTAAGAAATTTTCTAAACCTTTTTCACACCAAGCTATAAAAGATAACAAAAATGTATTGCGTCCTCATGTTTATATCGCCCAGTTTCAATATTATATCTATTTTTCATCCATGAACTTTTTGTCAATTTAGCAATTACTCTCTCCTCACTATAATTACGTAGATTGTCTACAGCTGTTTCGTAAGAATTAATTAGATAAACTGGATTAAACTAGTTACATATCTTAGCTACATAATTGTAATTATCGCTAAAGGCTTTGTACTACAAACCTGCAATACTGTACAGGAGATGCTTTATGATTTTTGTGCTTGTTTATTTACGATATTTTCAGAGAAGTGTGCAGCACTACAATCGGATATCGTGTTGCGGTACAGTCCCAAATATAGCTAAGATTAAGATTGTACGACTGTACAAGAATTGCTTACCTTTATACCTTAGATTGTGCAAGAATATGTAATTGTATTTGTGAGAGATAATTGCAGTACGTTTTGCAACAATTCTATTTTTATTTATTTAAAGATTGGGAGGAATAAAGAGATTGCAGTAAGTATCGTGAGTGCTTTGAGATGTTTATTATAACGCTTTAACTTGTGATTAAGCATAGAATATTGGAGCCTAGTGGAACTGATTCTTTTCATTGTATATTTTTGTTTAACTTATAGTATTATGACTTGAAGCTGTCTTTCTTTATAGATCCACATATCCTATTTTTATAAGATTATTAACCTAGAAGAAGGCATCTTATGTATTCAAATCATTGGATCTCGACGAAAGATACCGATAGCTAGTCGATCGAAGGCAGAAAAGAAAAAGTTATTACGCTATTGCAGTCTGATAAGCATCTCTAAAAACTTTTATTGCAATACTAGTTTTTAAAATAATTAGATTATCTAAAAGTATTTTACTGCATTACTTTACAGCTCTGAAGCAATTTCTGAACAGCGATAAACCAGTTGATAGCCCATACATCTTTAATTGATTAACTATCATAAATCTAACGCTATTTACTTCTCTATTTTGCAGTCATATTTAAGTTAGCCGAAGGATATAGAAGTATGTTAGAAATGAATAAAAATAGACAGCAAACTAAATAACTAGTCTTAATGGTGCGAGGAATGGGAATGAAATTTTGCACCTCATTGCCATCATAGTAATCACTCTTTATATAATTTACAATTTAAAACTATACCATGAAAATTTAATTTTACGTCCGTCTAAGTTACTGTATAAGATGTTAAGAAGGCAATAAAGTATCAGAATCAGTTAAAGTAATTCCCTATGATGTAAGAATTAGCTCTATGATATATTTGACACGTTGCGATATCAGTTTAGGAAAGAGGGTTTGCTAAAATCAACAAATCTCTTTTACGTAGTATATCAAAATATAAATTTTCCCAGACTGAAGCCATTATTCCTGCAATTAATTAAATTTCAATTGAAATTGATTATTGTACTAGTCATAATATTCATATTTTACGAAATGGAAGAATGTGCAACTTTTATTTTCTTTCTTTACTCATCGCTACCGTCATCACCAGGTGAATTCTTCTCTTGATAATTTTCAGCTCCAACTTGATTTTGTTTACGCCCATAAATTGCATGGAAGATATCATCATAATTGCCACTACTACTGCTAGCAACAGAACTAGAATCTGAATGATGATCTTCATCACTCTCATCCTTGTGATCAGCTTGCTTGTTTGATTCAGTTTGAGCTGAAGGAATATCCTTAGATGTTGTGTCAGCTTCTTCTACTGGTTGCTTCTTGGCAGAAAGCGGACTATCCTTAATTTGATTCTGTTTTACATCATTATCCTCTCTCTTATCATTGACGTTTGCAGATTCAGGTCCAATATCGAATGCTTGATTAACATATGCAGTAGAAAATAGATCTTCAGTATCATTCTCAATCGGATCATTTTCAAATGGACCTGGTCCACTACCAAAAGGCGAATGATCTTCGCCGGTAGTTGGAGGTTTATCACAGGATTGGAGGGGTGCATCATAATCACTTACTGTTGTCTCGAGATTATGAGTCGCATTTTGTGTTGATTTTACTTCAACTTCAAGTCCAGGATTATCAAAACCGCCTGCACCACTGTTGGTAGTTTTATGATCTAATTTATCATAATCCACTAATTGTGTTGATTCAGCTTCAACTTCAAGTCCAAGATTATCAAAACCAACTGCGTCACTACTTGTATTTTTATCATCTAATTTATCATAATCTACTAATGGTCCGCATGGACTATCGCCTTGCGTATCCTCTGAGCTAGTACCATAGACAACATTGAGGACATCATTTAAATTACCACTACTACCGCTAACCAAGGAGCCTGCATCATCTTTGTTATGGTTAGTAAGTTTAGCATCCTGATTATCAATAAAGGTAGTTTCCGCTTCAAGAGTAGTATCGGAAAACGCTTGAGGTTTTACCATCGAATCGTTCTCTTGATTAGATGATTGTTCAGTAACAGTATCATTTAAAGTATCGTCTGACTTATAGTTAAAATCTAATTTCATGTAATTGCCTGAATCGCGTCGGATAAATTTTCGCTTGCTAATTGGAGTTTCATCACGCTCTTGGTGGGATAAGTTTAAGATACGAGGTTCCGATCGATTGGTTAATGCATTGCTAGTCGATCCAGATGATAGTAAGGTCGTACTGTTATCATTTCTAAATGGTCGATCATAATCACTGCTACTACCATTCAAGCCTC